TGTGGTGCCTGAGATCAGCGAGATAGTTGATTTCTTCCGCCACCGTAGACCACCCTATTGAACTCCGCCCGAACTGGGTAACTGAGGGGATTCAGGTCAGGAGTTTCTCCAACGCCCTTCGATTCCATGTGGTGGCACCCAATGCTGTAGCAGTACAAAGTTTCCAAGAAGGTACGGGCGACGACATGTGAGGAGGATATTCTTCACGAGTTGCTCGATGTAACCGCCAGCGCTCCTACGCTTTCAGTCCGGGTCCACGAAGAAAATATTGGTCTTTCCATTCCAGGTTCCAGTCCATCCATCAACCCGCGCCTTGGCGACTGTGGGGAAAATGATCTACTAGACAGTGGCGACGTTGTCGGAGCTGCTCGTTGGAGGTCTTCCAGATTGAGAGTACTGGTCTCCAGGTAGCTACCCATGGGTGACTCCATACTAGAAGTTTCGCAGCTGTTTGGAAGGTGACATGAATTCCAAAAAGGGGTCCCTTTTTTTCCTCTGGGTCCGCCCCCGCAGGGCTGCGACTGGAGATGGCTTCATATTTTGGTGTATCATGGAAGTGTGCTAAATGTTACGGTTATATGAGATATTGCGATGGGCGAGAGCCTGCTCCTGCTTATCGAGGAATAGCTTGGGTATCTTTCGCCCCTGCTGATTTGTGACTCGGTCGAAGTGACTTCCCGCCCCCCCCCTGTAGTTTTGGCCTCTTCCGTCCGTTTTAATACAATGCCTCGTTGAAGGATTGGGGAGAGATTCGCAAGTTGGTGGCCGGTTTTTTGTCACAAGGAGAATAATGAAGTCAATCTTCTACAAGTGGTTCCGGCTTCTACCAGTAGAGAACAGCTGAAGCCGTATTCAGATTTGCGTAAATTGGTTACAGTTAGCCGAAGTAGCCCGCTAATGCTGGCGAGGTGAAAGCCGTATCGAATTTGTAGCTCTCTATCAATATGATAACTGCTAAGGCCGCGATTTGCGCTCTAAAAGTTATCGTTAAATTGTTAAGTTATGGGCAAAAATCTTGACCCAGTCTGAGGCTCAAGCCCACTGCTCACGGATTCCGGGCGAGTATATATCCGTTATTTTGCCACGGCTAGTCTTACCCTTAGCGTCAAACTTCTCATCGAGCGGTAGTCAATGCTACATTTCTAACGGGGAAGAAAAAATTACATTCGCCAACTCACTAACGCCGAATGTCGTAGGCGGATTTGCCGCTGAAACGGTGAGATTGGCCTCAAGAACGCGATGATTCGCGTCAGATGTTAGGCCGACGCCGCGGATTGAAATGCTCCACTTACCGAACTCTTAAAGGCAGTTGGCAACGATAAAATCGCTATACAGGTGTAGGATTTGTACAACTGGCTTAACAGAATTCCGTGACCTCGGACAGGCGCTGCGTGAAGCCTTTTCCAAGGAGGGTACCTCTATAACGCCCTATTGAGCAACAACTTTACGTCCCAAACGCCTTCCTTGCCCGCCCGCCCACAAATGGACGACCGTTCCTGACGCTCGTATTCATTCATTTGCTAAGCAAATTATGAAGCGAAGGGATTGTATGAAGTGGCCGTGTATACTGCAGCATACATGGTACAATATATGGCAGCCGTATCTTGGTAGCGAGTGATTGGGCAAGATACCTACGGAAAACTCGTACGCGAAATCGATTCCACTAAGTCACGAGAACGAAGGGCTTTCTCTTACCGGGATTTTGAACCGTTTCACTGTACCGTTTTTTCCGCCATTTCCCCACTATACATACACGCCCTTCCAGGCAATTTCCAGGCTAAGTTTCGCGAAACCATCGTGCGTTTCCTATTCCTTCACATGAAAGAATTCTTCAGTCATGCAAACTAATGTTGATCTCTAACAGCAGTTGTAGTACGACCACCTTCCCGCGACAGTGCGATCCCCCAATATGGATTCCACAAGTGTGGTTCAACCCAAGGAACATTGCTCATAATTCAGTGCAATGCTCCAGCTCACAATTACTCCAACTGCCATATCCATTGTCCTTCGATATAGCTTTAATGTAATAGGAGGTGAAAGTG